TATTTTGGGTTTTCCTGTTCCCCATTTTGTCAAATTTAACGGTTTTGAGCAGTGATGTCAGGATTATTGGTGTGCTCTGACGAGCATAAATACGAAGTGAGCGTTAAGGTGACACAATGTTTACCAGACTGCATTCTAGCTCTTCGAGATGTATTGTATAGTACATTGTCTTCTGTAAAACCACGCGTTGTCGCAAAAGCATGTGAGCTGCTTACATAGAAAGTTTATTGGTGAACTAAACTCCTAAACTACTTTGAGAAGTCAAGAATGTCTGAAAGAAAGGGTAAAAATTAATAAATGGAGAGAGAAAGAAAGAGAAAGAACAGGCGTTATGAATGTTTACTTTGAAAACACGGTTTCGAAGAAACACCCGCGTTTGTGTTTGGAAGTCAACGGTACACGCCAAGCACTAAGTATCGGCTCTAAATGTCAGGCGTGACGGCTGAAATATTATGATGGCGCTATGAGGAAATCTTCTTTTGCCGCACTTCAGTGTTGCGGTAAATGTTATCAGCTTATTAAAGCCAGTTCAAAATTGCTCGCTTTTGTGTGCCTTCCCACGTGAAACTTTACCAATTGAACATTTAAAAACAGTTGTCACAAAAAATAAATATGCTCTCAGTCCACCTTCGTAAAGCACTTGCTTCTATTCACGTCGTGCTTGTATCATCGTCATCATCATCATCATCATCATAATCATTATCATGACTACGCCCACTGCAGGGCAAAGTCCTCTCCCATGATCCGACAATCAACACGGTCTTGTGCTTTCCCTTGTCTTATGAGCAATATCCCAATGAAGAGTATGAAACCGAAGTTGCTTTTCATCTAACTGAAGAAGCATACACCGAAAAGCAGGGGTCGTATATTTCTTTCTTCCGTTCTTTATCTGCGGTGTTGCAGACGAACAGGTGAAATTGGTATTGGTATTAATGGGTGATTCAGCACAATTTTAACTCTTGTAATGAAAACCTCGTTATGTAGCAGAAATAAGCCACGTGACCTGTTTTACTTTTCGCAACCAGCTTTTGAGCTAACAGCCTTGCCAAACGGCACCCCTAATATTCACCCTGTACCACGATAAGCCGAGGCTCCAAGAAACTCAACGCCTATAAGCCACACAAGGCTAAACAAGTTACTTCAGTGCGGCAATCATTTACAATACAGAATGAACCTAGAGAAAGGATAAAAGCTCTCAATGTTGATGTGGCGGTGACTACGCTCATCCGTGGCACCTCCTCCTCCCTTTTTAATTCCCTCCTCCCCACTCCGCGCAGATTAAAAACTCGGCGCTTATGCATGTAAGTAAAAGCCACGTGACTACCGAACGAATCTAGAAACGAGGGGTCAGCTTCTAAAATTAAAAAAAAAAAACTATCGAAGTAAAATTGAAGACTTCTCAATAAAAATGACGGGAGACCCTCGGACGTGTTTCAAATAAGACCCGCCGTGATGGCCTATAGACTTACGATGCTCGACTGCTGACCCGAATATCACGGGATTCAATACCGACCGAGGCAAAATGCTGGATGCCTATGCCCTTTAATTTAGGTACTCGTCGAAGAACCCCAGGTGGCCAAAACTTCCGGAGCACTCAACCATGACGTCCTTCATAATCATACACGGTGTTGGAACGCAAGGCCAAAGCAATTATCATTAATACTTCATTTTTGGAATATACATGAACAAAAATTAATATCCCAAGCAATTGCGCCAGAGGTTAGGTGAAACGAGTCCGGTTTATCTGAAGAGTATCGGCCGCTTATTCGAGGCCACTCGATCCTACAGGTTGTGCAGCGTCTCGAATGGACGTGAGTTGGACCAGATTGAACGAAGGCACTGCCCTCTGCGGACGCAGTGGTGGAATACAAGTTTGCTCAGGTGGCAGTAGAGGGCAGTCTGGCAGGCATGGAAACGGGTGGCGAAGAGTTCGAGTTTCGCCGTTCCTTCAACGAAAAAAAAAAACGCGTTTCCTATTTCATCAAGGCTTGTTGCGTTTTTCTGTATAGTAATGGTTTAGGGCGCGCAGAAAATTTGCAAACTAATAGGTGCGGTTTGAAATTAGTCCTCTATATTGGATGCCAAGGAGACATCAGTGGCTGTGATAATACTGGCAGCATTTTATTAATTTCTATCTATCTATCTATCTATCTATCTATCTATCTATCTATCTATCTATCTATCTATCTATCTATCTATCTATCTATCTATCTATCTATCTATCTATCTATCTATCTATCTATCTATCTATCTATCTATCTATCTATCTATCTATCTATCTATCTATCTATCTATCTAACCGTCTACGTCTGGGCGCTATTGTGGCAGCCCCTTTAGATTAGAATAATACCTAAATTGACGCAGGAAAACATGTTTAGGATGAACATGATTCATGACATGTTCATGTTCATGACACGCATAACGTGACACACCTGTGACATACGCATCAGACCCTTGCTCACCCATCACGTGTGGCAAATACCCGCATTCCATGGTCTGTGTTATGCACATATTAGCCAAACATGATTCACAGTCTACGTCATTCCCAATAACGGTGACAGTAGACATTGGAAATTTTGCAAGACTGTTTACAGGAGCTAAACGAGAGGAGTACTCAGCGTTTGTTATAGTTGGAGCTTTTAATTTACGTAACGAACACCGATAAACGTGCAGCACGGGCGCTTAGCAACCACGTGGTCCAGATTGTAAATAAATGTATTGCATCAATGCTGCCTCAGCACCACTTGCGGCAGTGGTGCTTGTCCAACATCAGCTGTGGTTGCCGGGTTGGCTATCCACTTTATGATAACGTAATAAACTTTGCATGTGTTCTTACACTCTAAGAAGTAAAGGAGGAAGAGGGGCATCGAGGCTGCTCATTTAGAGGAGCAACTTACCTGCCACACCCATTGCTCAATTTTAGGGGTAACTGTAGAGTTACTCCGCCCTCTGAAGGGAGCAACAGTTATGTTACGCAGTAGAAAAATCGGATTTTGGTTGAAGTATTTTTGAAGTGTGTGTAGGCATGTGATTCGATGTACAAGCAATGCGCAAGCCTCGCATTCAGAAATAAATAAAGAAAATTTACAACAAACACACGAGATTTGAACTCGCGACCACTCAGGCAGCATACATGTACACTAATCGCTATACAACAGCCCACGCTATGGCACCGTCTGGAAGGAAACAAGTTTAAGGTGCACCGATGGATCGTTTGCACATGGCGTGATCGTTTCTGCAGTTACTCCAAATACAAATTGCTTTCCTCAACAAGGAGAAAAGCGGCCCTCTTTGTGGTGCCGTGAGCAAGGTTGCGCCCTCATTTCATATTTTTGGGGAGCAAAGCGCCCTTTTCGGGGTAACGGCGCAGTCACTCTGGAGAGCTTTTTAGACAGTAGGGCTCAGTCACTAGGCTCTGCAGGTATACGCCATCGTACAGTCAGCTCTGTCCCTTGGCTTTGATAAAATTGAAATCTGTACGGGAGCTTCTGTGCCTTAGTTACAAACATGCCTTGAAAAAACTTGTTGGACAGTGTCGACGATCACTTCGTTCATACACAATCTCCAGTCAGCAGTCCAGCAATGCCTATTTACTCATTGGCCTGTTTACCAAAGGACGCTAAAGAAGACGTCAATCGCAAGTGAGAGAAACGGAACAGCAAGTGGTAAATACCTCAAGGCGTCTCTACCGGAGTGTGATGAAGCTATTCGCAAGATCCTTTGGTTTTTGCGAAGGCTCGCGCACAGTGAAGCACGTGAGCACTGGCTGTTCAAATGCCCAACTTCGTACCATTATATCGCTGCAAGCTGCTAAAGAAATTGCTGTGTCTCAATATATCTCCAACCACATTTCTTCACGGGCTAGTTAAAAAAAAATTATCGTGCATCAACGATGTCTTAGGCACACAAGGCTGTGCTCGCACACCTAAATATACCTGGCGTTAGCCTCTCGTTGGTGGCGCGCATATGCAGCGTGTTCTAGCTCACTGGTATTAAAAATAAACATGTCCTATGTGTTTGCAATCGGCTATTATTGGACTGATCGAGGCGTACGCAGCACATCGTGATAGTTTTTACAGTCCACCAAGCTGGACAATTAACAAGTATTGCTTACTTAACTTTCAACGAGCTCAACCAGCTCTACTTCTAACACTCCCGGGACAATTGAATGTTTTAATTGCTGCAATTATAATACGCCTACTTTTGCCTTTGTTTTGTGACTCAAATTTGTGCCACCGTGATATTTTCTACCTATATTTTGTGCCTATATTCAAATAGTTATTATGTACTAACTTTTGCCTCTCCCTTTTTCAACGTATACGTTTGTATCCCGAGGGTATACTTTGAGAGAAATAAATAGAAACTTTTAGTTAGTAGCTGTTGCAAAAAATCTTCGAATACAAAATTTGTATCTTTCGTTCAGAAACATTGGAATATGTCCTACATGTTGAAGTAACTTCCAGTTCACTGTGCTAGGTAATTAACAAAGATTTTAAGTTACCTTCACAACTATAACGCAAAATATTCGGAGCTGGAGCGCTTAGTTGGGCTGGTTGGTACATATTCAAGGAAACGGAAAACCGCACAAAACACAGGGCTATGTCACGACTGTGTCCCGTGACAAAACACAAGACACAGCACTTAAGTTTGTTCATCCTTGTCGCTGTCCTGTGTTTCACGCTGTTCCCCCTTTCCTTACAAAATCTTCACTAGAGAAGTTGTAAATCGTTTTTAACAAGGCCAGATTATTTGAGTCATGATAACGGTCCTGTACATTTTATTTCCTTTGGTATGATTTTTTTTTACAGTGCGCGAAAGCTTAGAAAATAAATATTTGGCGCAAGTTAGCTGGGACACCCTGTACACCTTGGGTTTGATGCGATGGTACTTGTAGAAACCAACAGATAACTCAGTTCGTTACTTCCGTTAGTGGATTTTCTTTTCGCACGAAAGTATTTACAAGAAAAATGTCCATTAATCGTGAACCTGCCGATCGTTCAGCCATTGGACTGCTCAATCTTCTGCAGGCACTTGTGCAGCGTCTTGGCATGAACCGACCCTTCAGACACGTCGTCCGGAAGCAGGGATGAGCGAGCGAATTGACGCCACAGCGTTTGCATTAGTTCTACGCGCGAGTTGCGCGGGGGGAAACATCCGGCGCCCCGCGCCGACGCACTGCGGCCAGTCACGGCGGAAGAAAGTTGCTCCGGTCGGCGCATGTATCCGTAGGTCTCGTGCAACTTGAAGGCTTCCTCGTTTCGCAGCAGGGCGTCCACCAGCTCCGAGCTGTCGACGGGCTCCTGAACGCCGCCGTACTCGCGCGGCAGAATCTCGCGGGGCAGATGCTCGTGAAGGCTCGCGTAGTTCCTTCCATGCAGGTGAAGCTGGCGATGCGTAAAAATTGAGAAAAAAACTTTAAGCAAGAAGAAAAAAGCAAAAAAAAGTTAGCAGCCTGTGCTCTGAAATGAATGCGGAAGCATGTAAAAGGGGCCTTGAGTGAGTAGACATTTCTGCCTGTACCTCGCTCGTTGAGCTGCCTGCCAAACTATTTTTTTTTTTGTTGCGCGTAAGAGGACGTATAATGCGTTATGGTTAGCCTCCCTATACTTTTTTTGTCTTTTTTTCTCTCTATTTTTAACCTTTATCTATACCTCTCACACAGCTGCACCTCAGCAACGGTGTGCATGGATGCTCAACATTATGGAAGCCACAAAATCTAACACAGCTATCTCTGCCACGTTCATGACGCCCCTCTCCATGCTCCACCGTTTCTGCACTCTTTCTGCTTCTTGCGTGTACTGTTCACCCGAGAATCGCGGTTGTGGTGTCCTCCACTGAGATAAACTTACTGGATGGCCTAATACCCAATTTATGTCACTTTCTTTGAATCTCTCTCGAGGCCGGAACGGTGTCAGAGGTCGATAAAGTTGACGTGCATCTGTTTTTACTCGGAGCTTAGAAGATTGTGACGGCAACATAGCGACCCTGTTATAGTTCTGTTTTGACGAGTTCCGATTGTGCTTTTGCACACTCTTTGTTTGTACATGGTTATCATTTTATGAGTCAATACATTACAAGATTGATTGATTGATTGATTGATTGATTGATTGATTTAGCGCATACATCGTGCTGCAGTCAGTGATTCCTTTGTCAACTACTTCCAAAACAGCGTGTTAACTGATCATTTGAGTGAGTGATTCGACAAAACTTCAAAGTGGCTCTTCAGTTTCTCCACATGAGCAGAACTTCAAGAAGAAAAAAAGAAACACGTCAACGCTTCCTGCTCTTTTTCACGAGCTACTCCAATATATCGAAGGCAAACAAGAAAACGCGAGCTGCAGTGATCTCTGGGTAAAGGTGGCGATAGGGGAATCACTACTCCTTAATTGAAAGTCAAGACCGTGCGTGAAAAAGTCATCTGCAGGCTTGGTGAGCAGGGTGGAGGCTTAGATTAGTTGCTTTCTCCGGCTCTTTCTTCCAAGGCGAAGGGGAACGATACAGCCCAGTATTCATCGTGATAGCACATCAATTAATTTGCAAAATCAGAGACTGCATTTTCTAAGCCCTCTCTTATAATTTTAGTCCACCGACATGGGCTTTGGCTCTCAATAGCTTGTAGCCGAGAGACAGCCATGCCTCTCGGCGTGTAGTCGAGAGGCAGCCCCTTTCCATGGTCGTAAATAACGACAAAAAGATGAAAAGCCTAGCATAATGGATGTGGCATTTCAAACAACGTCCGAACATCGTTTCGAACTTACTCTTTGGAAAAACTTATTCTTCACAAATGGTTTCAGGAACTTCAAGAGAATTGTGAAAAACAGGGGCTGGTTGACGACGTGGATCGCCTTCAGACGTATGGGGTAACATTCCTGCAATACACACAGCAAGAAAAGAGAATGATTTCAGTGTTAGTGTAAAACGCTATAGCACATAACTACATTCGGCAATTGTTGACTCAAAAAAAAAAATGCCAGTCACGGTGAGTCTATAGTAGTGCCTATATTTTCGAAAAGCTTTTCTGTATGAATAGTGACCGTACAGAACTCTGCACATAGTTCAGAGATAATGCAAGCGAGTTTTGTGGAGGAAGGGTTAAGCAAGGGAAAATAAACAACCACGCGCTTGTAGCCCGAAGCCATTGTATGCGTTCATCTCTCTCTTTTTTTCTCCATCATTCCCCTCTCCCCCGTGTAGGGTAGCAAACTGTACTTAAACTAGTTAACCTCCCTACCTTTCTGATATATTTTCTTCGCTCTCTCTTTCTCTCTCTCACTGAAGAGAGATCACCACCCACATGCAAAGCCATATACTATACGGAAGTACTCAACGTGTCTCCGGGACCCATATAGACGATATTACATTACACGTAGTCGCCGCCACATTGAGATTTTAAATATTTTTCTCTTAATTTCATCTATCGCGAAGTGTCTTAATTAGGTCATGAAACGTGAATGCGTCGACGCAACCTTTTCCATGCGTACGGCTCTACCATAGCACTACTGTTCGTTTAGTTTAGTTGCTAAAGATACAAACGGCGTGGCTATACATTTACATGTATATATATGAAATAATAATAAAGTTAATGGAGAGTACCTTAGTAACCTGCGCTTCGCCGATCACATTGCATTGCTGAGTAACTCAAGGGACGCATTGCAACTCATGATTACGGAGTTAGACAAGGAGAGCAGAAAGGTGGGTCTTATAATTAATCTGCAAAAAATTAAAGTAATGTACAACAACCTCGGAAGAGAGCAGCGCTTCGAGATAGGTAATGGTCCATTTCATTGCTGAGTAACTCAGGGGACGAATTGCAACTCATCATTACGGAGTCAGACAAGGAGAGCAGAAAGGTTGGTATTAAAATTAATCTGCAGAAAATGAAAGTAATGTACAACAACCTTCGAAGAAAGCAGCGCTTCGAGATAGGTAATAGTGCACTTCAAGTTGTAAAAGACTGTGTCTACTTAGGGCAGGTAATAACCGCGGAGCCGAACCACGAGATTGAAGTAACTAGAAGAATAAGAATGGGGTGGAGCACATTTGGCAAGCGCTCTCAAATTATGACAGGTAGATTACCACTATCCCTCAAGAGTAAGGTATATAACAGCTGTATCTTGCTGGTACTTAGCTACGGAGCAGAAACCTGGAGACTTACAAAGGGGGTTCAGTTTAAATTGAGGACGACGCAGCGAGCAATGGGAAAAAAAAAAGGTAGGTGTAACCTTAAGAGACAAGAAGAGAGCAGAGTGGATTAGAGAACAAACGGGGGGTTAAGCATATCATAGTTGAAAGCAAGAAGAAGAAATGGGCATGGGCCGGGCATGTAGCGCGTGGACAGGATAACCACTAATAATTAAGAGTAACTAACTGGATTCCCAGAGAAGGCAAGCGAGCTAGGGGGACACAGAAGGTTAGATGGGCAGATGAGATTAAGAAGCTTGCGAGTATAAATTGGCAGCAGCAAACACAGGACCGGGTTAACTGGCGGAACATGGGAGAGGCCTTTGTCCGGCAGTGGACGTAGTCAGGCTGCTGCTGCTGCTGCTGCTGCTGCTGCTGCTGCTGCTGCTGCTGCTGATGATGATGATGATGATGATGATGTCGAATATTAATTAATCGCCCTCTCCTCTCTTTCTCTATTCTTACAGTTAGTCTATCGCGACCATTTTGCGTGTTTATTTACTATAGCGCCGCGTACCTGGACGCAGTAGAGAATCTTGAAGGCGTGCTCGGGCGACATGGATGCGATGTGCCTGAGTGAGCCACCTTCCAGGTCTACCAGCGCCACGATGCCATTCACCTGCGTCGCCGGCTCTTCGAGTGCGTGCTCCCAGGCGAGCGTGCACGGCTTGTACATGGCTTCCAGGGAGCAAACGTCGGGGCTCCACTTCCCTGCAAAAAGTTGCACGGCACGCTTTCTTCTTTTTCTGGCACGTCTCCTCTCGTCTTCGTTTGCGCGTACACCCACACGAAGAACAATACCTACGCCTTCCTTATCACTCCTCTGCGATGCATAGCGCTGTTACCTTTACACTATTTTCTATTACTTACAAGACAAGTGAGCTTTCGGCAGTGTCGTCTAGAGCAAAAAAAAACAAACTAAAAATGCGGGTCAAAACTGAAGATTATAATATGAGCTTCAGATTGGAATATGAGAGAGGTGAGGTAGTTGGTACGTACTCATTTTGATAGACAGGGCTTTCAAACATGGACACAAGAAGGAGGTCGGGACACCACAAACACCACAAAGGCATTAGGCGTTTCTAGTGTCCTAAAATCCTGCTTGTGTCCGCGTTTCCAAGCCGCGTCTTTTGGAATGAGCCTAAGATTTTCCACTTCGCGTGGTACTTTTAACTTGGCACGAAGAACGATCTCCGAGCCTCTGGCCCCGCGTGGGTAAGTTCATCGAGTATAAAACACTTTTGGAATGACCAGCAGTAGTAGAAAAATATATTTGGTGCAATGAAATTTTGACGGGCATTCTCCACGATACAACTCTTTTCAGTGTGAGGAACAACAGATTTCTGCCCCACGCTAGAAAACTTCACCACCGCTCCTTCGCAGAAAAAGGCAGAGCCCACAGACCATGTGCTTCGACTTAAAAGTCATTAACGCTTCACATTATTCAGAAGTCATCAAGTACGCGTGGAAAATGTTAATTTTTGTCGGTTGACTCGACATTGCTTTTTGAGGACAGATCGTTTATATGTCTTCTTTTTTCCCCCTACGTCGAACCGTTTTCCCTCCCTCTCTTCCATATCTTATCGCCCCATCGGAGGGCAGCCCATCAGAATTCGTACTAGTCAACCTAACCACTTTTTATTCATTTCATTTCCCTCATTTCTCTTCGCTCAGCAACCTGTGCTGGCACGTAATATTGGGATAAGTTTTAAAGGCAGTTCAACATGTGGTCGAGTTAGTTATCAAGATTGCTAGATCCTATGAGACTAGTTGGTATTTGCCATGAAACTATGGTTCCTTTGCTCATTCCCCTCCAGTTTTCTTTTCATTGTTTCGCGTCAAGTGATTATAGTTTTATGCTTGGCACCAACCCTGAACCGACTAGGCCAACAGCAAGTATAATTAATTAATTTATTTATGAGACCACTGACTACTCTCAAGGCAGTGCTTTCAGGACCTTTCTCATCTTTCTTACCCATTCGCAGAAAGAACACTTTGCGCCCTCCCTTGTCAGTGTCCTTCAGAAAACCGAGGCACTGTAGGTCGAACACTTCCTTGACACTGGAAGGATACAGATTGTGATATAGGTCGGGGTTCTCGAAGCGCATTCTGTAATAGTTGCAAAGCAGCTGGAACGCAGCGGGCACGTCGAATTTTCTGGCTCTCAGAAAGCGGAGTAGGAAGAGCGGGTCCGTTCTCGACTTCAGCACCGTCACCTCTCCTGCGGTGAAACACGGAGTACGTCAGAGTCTAGAAGAGAACAGCACGAAGACTGGACAAAAAGGAAAAAAAAAACACTAACGCGGAAGAGATTTCTGAGCACCGCACTATAGTACCGCAATATATAAGACATCTCGCTTTCTCACAGAACGAGGCAGTAAATCAATCAGAAAGTCAATGCCTCCCGCAAAAACCCGAGTGGGTCACGTAAAATATTTCACTAAATCTCGCACAAATCATTAATAAAGTATGTTTAAAATGATTGCAATCATCCTGGTGATTTTTCTTTTATAACGCAAATTTGTGAGGAACCCTACAGTTCTGGTGCATTAGTTCAAACCGAATACAAGTGCTGATGTTGAAAGAAAGAGAAAAGGAAAAATAGAACCGACCGAAATTTCAGGTTTTGTAGTTTCTGATTGTTCAGGCTCGAGTTAGCGACAATTATCTGAATGATAACTCGTGATAAATAAACAAGACACAGCAAACTAGCTATATATATATATATATATATATATATATATATATATATATATATATATATATATATATATATATATATATATATATATATATATATATATATATATATATATATCCCCTCTTCCACCCGGCGCGCGGTCGTGAGAATTCGTTCACGTTTTCACCCGCAAACTGGCAGGATGCTGTACCTTTACAGCAGTGCCTCTTCGCTCAATGAGGCCTACACTACACGTCTGCCTTCGGTAAAGCGAGTAGGCCTAGAACAGTGGACTAAACAATGGCACAGAAGGTAGTCTCGTGCACTGCGGGTCGTGAAGTGATGCGAATGGAACTCACCGTCGAGCAACGCGCGCAGCTCTTCGAGGGCATCAGCTCGCCGCTGGGGCGTCTCGTTCAATTCCGTTTTCGCTCTTTCCACCAGGCGGGTGGGCAGCAACCCCGTGTCTTCCAGCATTCTGTAACTGCGATAGATCTCCGTTCATAATGACACGTTTCGTCGTGGTTACAACACGCGTCGCAAGGAGCTCGTCTTCGTGCGCTCCCATTTAAAAGTCATTGCGGCAATATTTAACTTAGACTCGCTTTATAATTCGCCACCATTTACGACCAGTATACGGCAATAGTGGGAAACTTCGGGGTCCGTATTTCGTTTACCAGTGAAAGTTAATTCATCCTCGAGCTGCCGTCTGCTAGCCTTATTGTTAGCTCAGATGGCATACAGCGAGCACAATGAAGAGGCGTTGGTGCCACGTTGGACCCTGCAATGTACAGACGAAAGTTTCGACTGTACATTTCAGTTTTTTTAAGACGCTTCTTAAACTTTTCTGCTGCGAAACCTGTAGAAGTTTCTTTTCGTCACTTCTAGTTATGCAAACGAGTGATTGACACATTTTTTCCGTTCGTTCACACCGAGGCTTTTTAAACCAACAAGGTCATCTGTTCGTTACAGTCGGTGTGGCAGGTACTATAGGGAATAAACATATCATTGCCAGCCACACCGTCACGGCATACGTAAAACACAGAGAACGCCATGTAGTTCCAATTTTCAACAAGTTTCGATTTCGCTCCATTTACTGGTGTGAAAAAATTCAAAATACGAAATGACGGAAATAAGTATTTTGCAATCAGAAATTGTGACTCGAAAAGCTGGTGCATCTTTAAAAGGGCACTCTTATGCGGAACGTCACCTGTCGACATCTGCGCCATAGAACACAGTCTTGCGAATAGAGAAAACAAATTTAAGCATCACATGTTGGCATCCCGCTTGAGCAAACTGATGTTTCATTTTGTGGGACATGTGTCCTTCCAACTGAAGGAGAGAAAAAGAGAATAAATTGAGTGAAAGGGAGGGAGGTAAACTGAAATCGTAGCGTCCGGTTCGCTACCCTGCACTGAGGGGAGCGGGAAGAAAGAGGAAAAGGAAAGCAAAAAGAAAAAACAAGGAGGCACGAACACTTCTAAACGCTCCTGCGCATTCGCTCTTGAAAAACAAGCGACCAGGGACACTGTCTGGCTGTACGCATCAGGTTGTAGCATACTTTATCATGCGAAATACCTTGCCATTTCTGTCATTCCTCAATCGAAATCTCTCAACAAATTTCAGTTGCACCCGCAGCGGTAGGAGTGAAGACTTTATTGCAAGTAAGTTGAAGAGGTGGATGCTTCCTGGACAGGGGCCACGGCTATAGGTGGGCTCAGGAGTACCTCGGCAGTAGCCGCCACCCGGGATTGTGGGACCAGGGCTCGCGGAACCAGGGCTCTCTGGCTGACCTGGCCCGAACAGTCGAGTCGCCCCCCAGTCCTCTCGGGGGGCAGGGTGTAGGGGGACAGGTTCTGTATTAATCGAGATGCCCTCATCATACGGAAGATGTCCGAGCACCCTAGCCTACAGTATGGACACTTCCCTGAGTACGCAGGATCGAAATGTTTCTTAACTTCCGGGAACAGTATCGTTTTGGTGTACAGAGATGCAGATGTTCCTCCTTCTTTGTGAGACCGTTGCAGGGTTTATAAGAGAGAGATGAAGGGGAAGACCAGGAGGTTAATCATCACCAAGAATCAGCACTGGGTGGTGGGGGGCCGTAGGGGTTTCTGAAAAGTTGTATGCTCTAATTGATCGCATTTGGAGATTTTTCTGAACGCAAAGATTTGGTTAAAATTGGAATAAACATCGGAGTGAGCGGAGGGTGTGGCCTGGTAAGTAAGCTCGCTTGCCGCGGCGCTTGCCGCTCCCTCGAGACCCACGTGTGCGGGGGCCAGGCCGTCGGTGCACCACTATAGTCACAGTTTTGTAAAACATGCTACACGCAAGGTACGGGGTGCACACTCTTTCAATGTTTTTACAGGCTCCCCGTGGGTGAGTGATGATGACTCTTCATTCCCAGTTAACAGCTGCGAGCGCGATGGCCACTTCTTCTGCATATGTTATATCTCGTGTTTTAAAGTTAGTCTGTTCATTACTGAATAATGGTGGCCTTCCGCAGCCGTGCACCACCCACCGTGGTGTGGGCCAGAGGCGTCCGCGTAGAAAATACAGTGTTTGTTCCAATAGTTTTTTTCCCAGAGCTTTGGATCTTGCTAGGCGCTGACACGATGCACCACAGTTTTGTCGTGTTATGCTGTTAGGAAGGGTGCGTGTCTCCAGGTTTTTGTAGGGCGTATACGGGCTCTTCCGGCTGATGAATGTGTGGTCGGGCAAAAAGCATGTTTGTAAAATACCTAAAAAGGTGGCATCCAAGTTGGGTTTTTGAGAGTATCGTGTATTGGCTTGTTAACTGCGCTTTCCTGAGCTCGAGGAAGTGTTAGCCATTTCTAGGTCGAGTAAAAATATCAGTTGGAAGCGTTAAACGAGAGATTGTATTGCTTGCTTGTATATTTGGCGCAATATTACTCGGATTATATTTTTCTCAATTTCGCCAAGTTGTAAGGGAGAGGTCGAGCATATAACATGGTTTGTTACTAAAGCATGCATGCGCAAGCCGCAAAGCATCTTTGCATCGTATATAGTCAGCCACGTTTGTTTAAAACCCGTCTAATCATGCAGCCGCCTTGGTCGCTCACCTTACATAATTTGGTTAGGGTTGCGCACATTTCGGGGTGTTCATGCATAAATAGGCCTAAAATTCTGACCCCATCGTGTTCGGGGATGGGTCCGTTAACTATTAATGGTTGGTTTAGCGGTTGTGGTGGACTACTGCTGACCCGAAGGTCGCGGGATCGAATCCCATTCGCGGGTGACGCATTTTGATGGGGGCAGTATGCTACTGAGTCTCACAAATTTTGGTGCATGTCAAAGAGCCCCAGGTGGTCGAAATGTCCGAAGCCATCCACTACGGCGTCGTTCAGTATCATATCGCGGTTTTGGGACGTATATCGCAAATTTTAGTTGCCTACTCAAACTTTCGTATCTACTCCTGGCCAGCGCTGATTTCCCGCGCAATATACGAATAGGGACAGCACGTTCGCCGCGATAGTCGCAAAGCACAGCGTTAAGGCACGAAATGCGTGAGACCGAGGCTCGAGAAACCGCTGCAAGCAGGCAGCCACTCACCTTGTCGTTGGGTCGCCGTGTCACATACTCTCGGTCGGCAATCGAGTTGCATAGTCGATGCAGCTAAAGTACCGCATCACGAGGGACCGGTTTGTGTTGGTTCAATTGCAGCCGGCCTTCGTCCCACTCGCAGTCGCGACCTTTTCACTTTCCTTGTCTTGGCACATACGGTATACACGTGAGGGTGGTTGTTTGTTCTGCAAACGCATATTGTTCGTTTCGGTTTTCCGTCTTGCAGCACTTGTTTTTCAACGCCAAAGCTGCTTAAGCCAACTGTAGAAGCTTTTGTGGGTACAAAACAATCACCATCATTAATAACGGATATGCGCCAGAGAAATATATATGGTAAGTTACCCACCACTGCTTTACTGAAACGAAGAAGGCAACAGACTGCAGTGGCGAACACGAATTGAGATTTCTAGACAGAAATAACCAGGCAGTGAACCGTCGAGGTTAACGCAATGATTAACGCCGCGGCCGCACGTATATGAGCTTTGCCGAAGCATCAGCACGAAGTACCTCAATAGTACGTACAGCGAGAGAATATACTAGGGAACGGGATGGGCGACGGCGGTGGCGAGAAGACCCCAAAGTGATGGAAGGGCTACGCTAACGACTGGCCCGTAGATCTATGAGAGAAGTGAACATGCACCTGGTTTCAGCGCGACTTTCCGTCTCTGGAGTAAAGTCCGTGCCGTGTGTGTGACCGTCTGTGCGTCTACTCGAACCTCTCGGCACTGGAAAGCAACCGAGGAGCAACCTAGCATCATTTAGGTAAAGCCTAGCAATCATCTTTAAGCAACCATATTGGACTTGGAATCATCCAGCTTCTCTGTTTCAAGCAATGCGCGACTTATTGCGAGCTTGGCCTTTTTGTTGCTTTGTTGCTTTCTTTTCATTGTCCACAATATTAACCTCACTTCTCAAGCACTGGGAGAACTCTGCGAGCCTGCAGGCGCCCCATTTCCCTTACGTAAACCAGTGCATGATGCAAATAGCTGTAAAAGCTCCGTTCGTAACTTTTGAGTTTTAATGTCGTCATGGTATTCCGCAGACAGAATTTCGAAGTTTAAGACATGCACTAAAACGACTCACTGTGCATTCGCCTAAGTGAGATGATGAGTGAGAACATCGCCGCGCCAAGGAAAAAATTTTTTTCTCCTTGTTCTTCGAAAGCCTTGATGGTGATCACTCAAAATCAGCAGAAAAAAAAAAATAACTAGTTTGCTTTGTGAAACGCTGGCAAAACTACGTATAAAAAAGTAAAAAAATGAGGAAGGCCAGCGCCAAATTGGGAGAGAGGAAAAAGAGTAGAAAAAGCAATAGAGAGAAATAGATAATGAAAGAGGAAGGAATAAATAGAAATAGAGAACAAACAATAAAAATAAATAGAAATGAAGAGAGAGAAAAAGGGACAGAAATAAAAACGCCAAAGGGGGAAATGAAAGAAACTACTGATGAGGGAAAAAAGAAAATCAAAGAGAAACAAAGAAGGGGGGGGGGGGGTAAACAACAAGAGGGAAGGCAGGGAGTTTAACCAGGCACATGCCCGGTTTGCTACCCTACGCTGGGGGAATAGAAAGGGGGCATAAAGATGAGAGAGAGAGAGGGGAAAGAGAAGAGAAAGAGAGATAGAGAGAGAGAACAAAAAAGGAGGATTGTCAGTCAATCGGCTGGCGCGTATGCAGCCGTGGCACTACACAAAAGTTAAAGGTGGTCACATAGGCCTGTAGTCCTCAAAAAGCACAAGACAGCTTTAACTGCTTTTTGAGCCGACGAAAGGCGATGACGGTGTTCCACTAGCATCTGCACAGAGAGTGGCCGATCGTCCAATTGTCGCAATGCGTCCGAAAGCTTCTGTCTTTCAGAGGCAAATCGAGGGCAATGGCATATCAGATGGTCGATGTCTTCTTTGATGCAGCAGACGTCGCATTCCGCATTGTTGGTCAATCCGATGAGGGTTCTATATGCTTTTGTGAAGGCAACCCCTAACCAAAGGCGACAAAGAAGTGAAACTTCACGTCGACGAAATCCGGATGGAGGTCGAAGTTCGAGTCGAGGGTTTATTTGGTATAGTCTCGTATGTCCCATGCTTGAGGTGTTCCACTCCTGCAGACTCAGACTACGTGCCAGGTGACGAAGTTGCTTTGCAGCGTCAGTCCTTGACAAAGGAATCGGAAGGGTGTGTTCTTCTTGGTGCGATGTGCGAGCTGCGTTGTCTGCGTAATCATTGCCATTGATCCCACAATGGCCAGGAAGCCACTGAAACTTGACCTCGTGGCCTGTTTCTGTGACGTGGTGAACGAGCTTGACAACTTCGTAAGTTAATTGTTCATGGCAACCTCGTCGAAGGACTGACTGCATGCTCTGTAGGGCTGGTTTTGAGTCGCAAAACACAGCCCATTTACTAGGTCGTTGGGATTTGATGTACTCTATGGCGCCACGCAAAGCCGCAAGTTCTGCCGCTGTGGACGTAGTGGCGTGTGACAGTTTGATTCGCAGAGTGATTCCTCTAGCTGGAATCGCCACCGCACCACCAGAACCAGACGCTGTGGTTCAACCATCGGCGTATATGTGCACGTGGTTGTTGTACATTTCGTGCAGATGGCTCAAGCTCAATTGTTTTAGAGCTGATGAAGGCAAATTTGATTTTTTCTGTATTCCTGGAATTGAAACACGTACTTGTGGAAGTGTCAGGCACCACGGTGGATACACCAGTTTCTCAGCAGGCGTAAAACCTGACGTAAACGACGCACGATGAGCACAGACAATTGCACTAAATTTCGTGAAGGGCCTCTCAGTAGCGAGGGTTGCCAAGTGGTGGGAAGGATTCCTAGCATGTTGCCTGAGGTACGTACGCATCGTTTCAATGGTGATGTGCGTCATGATCGAGTAGTCCTGTGCAATGGCAATTGTTTCATCTGTCGATGCGCAGCGGGGTAAACCAAGGCATATCCTAAGCGCTTGGGCTTGAATATTTTGGATTGTGCGCAGGTTCGTTTTGCATGTGTTAGATATAACAGGTAGGCTATACCGCAGGAATCCAGTAAATAATACCTTGTACAGCTGTAACATAGACTCGACAGACATTCCCCAACTTTTCCCAGCAAGAAACCTGAATAAGTGACAAATGGCAGTCAGCCGCTTTTTCACGTAGTTTACGTGGGGTGTCCAAGACAGGTTTCGGTCGATTACGACTCCCAAGAACCTGTGACTCCGGCTGCATGACACCAACTGCCCATTAATTGATATGCCGTAAGCGGACATTGGTTTTCTGGTGAAGGCCACGACTGCACACTTCTCACTTGCGATCTCAAGCCGTTGTTTGCGTAAGTGGTACGATGTCACTGATGCTGCCTTCTGAAGTCGAGCGCAAAGTTGAAGTCGAGTCACACCTGATGTCCACACACAGATGTCATCAGCATAAATGGAAAGTCGTACACTGCTTGGTTGCTTGCCAACTAGTTCAATGAGTGTTAGGTTGAACTGCGTCGGGCTTAGCACTCCGCCTTGCGGGACTCCTCGGCTGCAGTAATACTCGGGTGTCGGGCCATTCTCTGTCTGCACGTGAAATGATCTATTCTGTAGGTAGCTCTGAACCCACGTATATATCCTGCCACCGAGTTCCACTCCTTCTAGTGCGCTGAGAGTGGCTCCGTGGGTGACATTGTCGTAGGCCCCTTTAGCGTCAAGAAATAGAGCAGCAGATAACCGCTTGCAGGCCTTCTGGTGTTCTACATATGTCACCAAGTCAACTACATTGTCAATTGACGAGCGGCCTCGCCTGAATCCGGACATGGCATCTGGATATATTTCGTAGAATTCTAAGTACCATTCCAGACGCGTTAAAATCATCCTTTCCATAACTTTTCCGACACAGCTCGCGAGGGCAATCGGGCGGTAAGAGGAAATGTCCAAGGGTGACTTGCCGGCTTTGAGAAGTGGAATCAGGTGACTTGACTTGAAACAAAGAAGGGGTTTCGAAAAAGGGGTTATAACGATTTGGAGTACTACTTCATTCAGGCTTGGTCAATCTAGTTCAAATCCACCTTAACTTTTTTTTTTTTTTGCTCAAGGACGAGGTCCTTTGCCCAGCACTAGGTGTTCACTTTTTTGTTTCTCTCAGTTGTGTAATATTTTAAGAAAAGCAGTGAAACGGACCTCGATACTTCGCGCTGAAGTTGCACATTTTATATTTAACTAATAACTTCATTAGCTTCTCAAATAAACACCCCTTCATAGGAACTGAAGTGGCTGTCTAGAATTATTAAATATCATCAATTAATCTCTTCCTTCCGACGCATTTATTATTATTATTTTTTTAATATAATCATCGGGCTAACTAAGGGAGCACTTACAAAAGGTGTTTCTTAGCGCTCCGCGCTCACCCAACATCAAACGCGCCTACACGGCTCGTCAAACCTCTCCCAACTCAGCGGATCTACTTCTCCCGGTCTTCTCGGCGGCCTTACTGAATGCTTGTGTGTTGTGGTCGTTTGGACGCGCGCTGGTGAACACCGATCAAATGCGGCTTTTTTTTTTACCTCCTCTACTTCTTTTGCTTTTCCCTACCTATCCACTTTTATTCACACCACCGCATCCCTTGTGCCGACCTGTTGAGGTGTCATCCAAGTGATAGACTGTTACGGGCGGCACTTTTCTCTTCCTTTCACTTACATAATCACCTAGAGAGAGTGCAGTGACTGCCATTAACGCCACGAGAAATAAGGAGCGAGGATGAAAAAAAATCACCTTTTTTACCACAGCACTGATTTAAATGCGAAGCGTGAACCGACATCGGGCAACCGACAGCAATTGCCCACGGGGCAAGTTTTAGTACTCCTGAAAGAACGTACACCCTCTCGCTCTTCTTTATTTTTCATTGAAAAGCCTCGCTTCCTACAGTGTCTGCAAGCGTATAAAGAGATTCACCTCGTGCCAGTAGTCTACACGGCACGAGAATCAGAATGTACGAAACACATAACGTATACGTGACTACAGCGTCAACCGACATAGTGCGTCTTTTTTCTTTCTTTCAGT